GGGAGGAGATGAAGCAGAGTTGATGATAATTTGCTAACAAAGTCTAAGTAAGAACTCGTTGGTTCCTGCCATCACTGGGAGACACTGACCATGTCCTCCTGCCTTGATATTTGTGTCTGTGACCTGGAGATTGTGAGCAGCATGGGGCGGCTTAGCCAATAGCCCACACCCTTGCTGGGTTATGGCCCATAGGCCGCCTGCCCTCTGAAAGCTGTGGCTCCCCATGTCAGCAGCCCCTCATCAGAAAGCTCTAGACTGTGAGCTTGTACATAGAAAGGCCCCCCAAACTAGCCTCACTCACCTTAATGTTTGACACTGGAGGGTCAGACATTTCATCTAAATGTTAGGGTTGTGTCTCAGACTCATGACAACAAAAGGTAGGGTGGACTTGATTTTTTGTTTCAAATAATGATCGAATGATCTATTCAAAACTCGGTGAATATTTTCCAGAGTTGTTAGAGTTAACTGTTTGAGGCCCCAGTTGCACTTCAAGTATACCCTCACTGGAACTTCTGTTTCTGGGACAGGAGAACCTGTGGGTCGTCAGGTGGAGGTTAACAAATTCTCATGGGCTCAGCTAGGCTTCTGGCATTGTAGAGGGAAATGAAAGCAACAGCTGTGGCAGTCGCTGACGTTGCCATCCACACGGCCCTGGGAGTTAAGGTCTATTGTCAGCCCATTCTGTAGAAAGGGACTCTGAGGCTTGCAGAGGATGGTCAATGGTGGAGAAAGAATTTGCACCCCTGCGCAGAAGATAACCCAGCCCTGCTGGGGAGAGGAACACAAGCCTCTCCTCTGGCAGTAACCTCACTTTCCAGCTCCCCCTCCTGTTCATGGGGATGGGCTCTGAAGTCCTGGAGCCTCAGATTTTTATAGCCTCATCTTTTCATATCCCAATGGGGTTTAAGTGTCAACATGGCCGGCACTGTGATCTTCCCAGGCCAGGCCATTGGCATTAAGATTTTCTCACCAGGAAAACTTGCATTGTGTCAACTGCTGTTTTGTCTGGCCGTGGAGGTCTGGTATGTCTGAGTCAGGCTCCAGCTTCAAAACTCAGGTGCAGTGGGAAACCAAGATTCCTGCGCTTGGGCCTGGGCCAAGATTCCCATGGCCTCAGATGTGCTGGCTTCTAGTTCTCTGGTTCATCCGATTTGCCCTGCTAAGAAGATTTCTGCTCCTTCTCCACCTGGTAGCTTCCTTCCTCTACATGACCTCATCAATCTTACAGTTGTTGGTGGCTTCCCCAATCTTAAATGCTCCAAAGAGCTCGCTTCAGATGGAAGACAGAATGCAATAAAGAAACCAGGGGGAGGGAAAAGGCAGGATACTCATTTGAAATCCATGCCAACTGGGCCTTCTGTGCAGCTCGTGGCTCTGCTCTGTGGAAGGAGAGCTACCACATGTCAAGCTATTTGATGTTCTTGTTCATGGCACGCTCAGGGCACCCCTCAGCCCTTCTTCAGCCTAGACTTAGAGATGTTTCCCCCTTCTTGACTTCATTGGGGTGCAGGGACTACTCGGGGAGCCAGTCCTCCCCACTTTCTGAGCAAAACCACAAAGCTCTGCTTAAATGCTGAGTAGGCTGTATTCTTGTCTGGACTTCCCTGTCAGCACCAGGCCTGGACAGCCTGGACGGCCCCTGTCCACTCTGCATGTTCCATGGATCCCGCTTACGTGTCCCTGAGACTCCTCCTCCTGAGCTCTGCCCGGTGCTGCCCTCTCCCACCACGTACCCCAGCTCTTTGATTCATCTCTCTCTGCTGTCCTGTAAATGCTGGTTCCTTCAGCTTCTCCTCCCTGGCCTCTTGCTCCTCTCCCTCTGAGCTCTTGTGCGAAGACACCCCAGGTGACCATTCCCTGCCCGCTAGTTTTGATTATCAGACTGATGTCTCAGCCTCCGGCCTGCTGTTGCCCGCTGAGCATGGCCACCTGGAGATCCAGGGAAACCTGAACCTCAACATGTGCCAAAAGAAACTGTCCTCTTTCCTCTTCCCCAACTCCTTCCAGACTCTTCCCTTAACCTCATCTGCTCCTATTCTGTTGCATCTGCCTGTCCCTTCATTCATTTAGTAAATATCACCCATGTTTCTTAGATGGATTGCCACCTCTGGATCCCTCTTATCATGCTCTACTCCAGGTCCTTATCATTCCTTACACTTCTGATGACAGCAGTTCCCCTACCCTTCTCCTGGCCTCCACGCTCACGCTCCTCAAATCTGTCCTCCTCACTGCTTCTGGAGCGACCCACACCAAGACACCTCTGCTGAGAGCCTTCCATGGTTCCTCATCCCCGACCACAAACTCCCAGCTCTGAGTCTTGTGCACAGGCCCAGTACGAACTGGCTCAGCCTCTCCAGCCTCGTCTCAGCTCTCCTGCCTCATGCCCCATGCTCTGCTGGTGCATAGCCTGTAACTTCCCAGCCCCCCTTGAGAGCTCACAGCTTCTATTCCATTCTGTTCTGTTCTATTCTATGCCAAGTCATTCCATTCTTTCTGCCTGGAGTGTCTGTTCCCACCCTCTTTCACCTGGATCATGCTAACTTACCCTTCCGGACAGCTCGTCCACTGCCTGACTAAGAAAACCCTCCCTAAAGCCTCAAGTTAGGAAAGTGCTCCTGTTGCTTCTGTCCTTATTATCTCGGGACTTATGAATGGTGCATTAAAATTATCCTTGGGGGAATTTTTCTCCTCTGTCAGCATATAATTGGGCTGTTAGTTGGTTCTTAGCCGCCTTTGCCCCAGGGCCTCATACTGTACCCAGCACGGAGTAGGTGCTCAGTGAACACTGTGTCCAGAACATAACCCTTCAGATCAGGCATCCTGATTCTTCCATCCTTGGCTTCCTAGCAGATCCTTAATGAATGTTCTATGGGTGAAATTTGCAGCCAAGGACCAAGGACACAGGCTGATGGGAAGAGGTAAGGGAGTTCTGAGCACACACTTACTAAGTCTGCTAGGAAGCCAGGCACGTAGAAACCGCACACCAGAATTCCACCCCTGAGATGCATGCATTTGAGTGTGAGGTTTGATGGCAATAAGTTCTCTGGTCATTATTTAAGAGAATAACCTGCTGGGTCAGCAGAGGTTGAGCTCCTCCCCCATCACCAAAGTAGAATCACCTCAGGAAAGGTATTGTTGTGAATTAGGGTAATTATGGCAAAGAGGAGGGATGGGTTAGGGCCAAGAGTGGACACAGGCTCCGGGTGCCTCCCAGAAAGGCTCTCCCAGGTGTACAAACTGACCCTCCTTTTGGTGGCCTCTTTGCACAAAGATGTGTGCAGAGGTCAAGTTTGTAGCTCCTCACTACCTTTGTCACTGCAAAGCATGAACAGCTAGAGATCTGCTGGGCCAGCAGGAGGAGCTTCTGTGAATTCTAGTGGGTCTCTAAAGGGTGGGGGATCCGCATTTTGAACACCCACCTCCTGCTAATCCTCCTGCAAAACCAGTCAGGCTGGTTGCAATGTATTATTAGAAAGCCCACACTGCAGGCCTTGCAACAACAGAGTCACTTGTTGCAGGAGCAGGGTTTCAACCTATGGAAGGAGGCATGAGAAGTGGGGGGCGGAGGAGCTGGGAAGGCACAGGAGAAAGAGCTTGGGATTTCAGCGCCAGGGTGAACAGGTTTAAATGCTGCTCTGTTTCTTAAAGGCTGTGTGTCCTGGAACACATGACTTAACTTCCCAGAGATGATAATGAACCCTCACAGGAGATGGTGAGGATCACAGCAGGCTACTGTAAGACACCTAGCCTAGGGCATGAGGATAGAAGGTGCTGGAAAAACGCCAGTTCCTCTGATATAGGTGCTTCTTGGGACATGGGGACAGGGCCAAAGAAGTCCAAACAGAAGGCTCCGCCACTCTGCTTCCCAGGGGAGTAGAGTCTCCTTGCTGGGGTGCTGCCCAGCAGCTCCTGCCCATCACACAGAGCCCCGCCCACCCTGCTGCAGGACTGGTGATTTCAGATAAGGATTTTCTAGGCTGCCTTGGGACACAACATCCTCTTTACACCATCACTTTGAGGTTTCCATTCCTCTTCCTTCGCTGAGAAGGACAGCCGGCCCGGAAGGGTCAGTCCTTCACACAGCCCCAGACCAACCCACACATCCCAAAGCACCCACATGAAGCGTGTCCATGTTGAATCACCGACTCTCAGGCAAACCCTTCTTTCACCTTCTGTCTCTTTGATTCTAGAAAGGGAAGTGATGTTCGAGCAGGAAAGAGCCCAGCAGAAGTGGGTAAATGAGAGCCGCAAGGGCAGGGCTGGGGCCTTCTCTGTTCATCTCTGGAGGTAGCCTCTCCCCAAGACCTCCTGCTCCTCCTTTCCGAGCACCCACCCTCGTGGCTCCCCAGCCATCTGCATGTCAGCTTCTACGCTGTCCACGCGCCCCTTCGCCTGGGGTTCTATGTCTTTCCCCACCCCCATTGCAGCTCCCAGGGTGGGGCCGGCTCTAGCCTTCAACCAAGGTCTGTTTACTCAGCAGCAGCCTTGGAGGGGGGGCGGGGGTCTCCTCCCCAAGGAGTCCCCAGAAAAGCCAGGGCTCCCATCCTCGAGTTGAAGGGTGGATGGAGGGTGGAGTGGACCACTGAGCACTACCAAGGGCGCGGCCAGGCCTGTCCCTTCCTCCCAGGCGGGATCTGTGCCGCTGGCTCCCTTCTGTCCCTCCAAGCAGCCCCAGGCCATCCTGCTCCTGTGTCATGGAGCTTCCATGGGGAGAACCCCTCCCTAGTACACACACTCCTGGGTCCAGAGCTGCCCAGGCAGGTGCCAAGCCTCCAGGGCAGACCACCAACCAGAAAACAACCTGCTCCTGAACAGGCATCCATAGGGCCCGGGCTGTGGTGTTAAGTCAAATCCAGCTAGGCCTTTGTCTGGCCTGGCTCCAGACAACCCAGTGCCAGGTCAGAGCAGGTGGGGACCTACTGGGCTGCCCCACAGTCCTCAGCACCCACAAAAGCCCCATGCTGTCCCGTGGCCTGTGAGGATAGAGAGGAATGCACTACCTCCAGAAGATGATCTGTCCCAGGGAAGCCATGGCGAGTGGAGGGTCCCTTCTGCGGTGCAGGGTGCTGGGTGCGTGGACCTGCGCTCCCGGTGCTGTGACTCCCAGCCGGCTCCGTGCACCGGCCTTAAATAGCCGGGGCCGCGGGAGTGCTGCCTGCAGACGGTGCGTGCAGCTGCTCAGGAATGAGGAAACGTGCTCCCTGCAGACGCCCTGCAGGCCCGGAGGTGCCTGCTCCCAGCAGCCAGCGCCTTTCTGAAACCTGGACCTGGGCTTGCTGCTCGGCACGCAGTTTCCCCCATGGAAGGGAGGGCCAGGGAGGGAGATGTAATCTCCACACGAGAGAGGACTGCAACAGCTCACAGGGCAGGGCTGACCAGGGAGGCCTGGGGTCCGGGTGCTGAGCCCCCACCTCTGGGCAGCTGGTGCTCACGCTGAGCCCTGGTCACCACCGGAGGGGTCTCTCCTGACGGAGATTCACGCCGACGGGCCTCAGAAAGGCCACGAGCTGAGGTGACAGAGGCGCTGAGTGTGCACTCAAGAGGGCACTCGCTTGGGCCCCTGAGACCTTGCAGCTGTGCGCCTATCTCCTGCAGTTTCATTTCAGGGACAGCGTGAGGGGGGCTGCACGACCCACCTCACACTCCTCAGAGCTGCCGTTCCACACCACCACCCCCCAGAGCAGAGTTTCCCTCCTTTTATCACAGCCATCGCCACAGCTCAGGAGGGCCCTGCAGGAAACACCGGGACAACCCATGCAGGCACCCCAAGTGGGGGCCAGTGAGCAAGGGCAGCCTCCTGGGAGAGGCTACAAGAGCCAAGGCTGCAACCCTCTGTGCTCTCTGCTCCTTTCACTCCACACTCCTGCCCCCTCCCGATGCCTTGTCTTTTTATTAGCTGCTTCAAGTTGTCCTCACCAAATAGCCTGACTGAGGGGCTTCAACAACAGAAATGTATTTCCTCATCATTCTAGAGTCTGGAAGTTAAGATGAGGGGTCCGACAGGGCTGGTTTCTTCTGAGCATCTCTCCTTGGCTTGTCCCTGGCTGTCATCTCCCTGGTCCCCACGTGGTCTTCCCTCTGCCTCTCTGTGTCCAGATCGCCATTTCTCCTAAAGACACAATCATACTGGATTAGGATGACCTTTTAGCTTCAGGATCTAATGACCCTAATGATCTTTAACTCATATCTTTAAAGCCACTCTTTCTAAATATGGCCTTATTCTGCGGTACTGGGTCTAAGACTTCAAGAAGTGAATGTTTTTTATGGAACGACACAATTCATTCCCTGCCACTCCTTTGTAGCTCCCCAATGTTCTCCCTTCTCTCTATCCCCAATAGACTCACTTAATTCAACCCCACTTCACTGAATCCCTGTTCAAACACTTCCTGTTTGAAATGAATTATTAGTCAATCTCCCATCTCTCTGCCGTGGCCCTCCCATGGCACACACACCGTCTGTCCCTTGTATGTGCCAATCTACCCACTCAGGCTGGAGTGATTTTTCTAAGAGGCACATCTGATCAGACCTCTTCCCTGCTAAACACATGAACAGTGCCCCAACCCTGTGCTCTGGCCGCTGCCTTCCTCTCCAGATTTTGTTCCCAACCCCTCGCATACCCCTCTCTCTGTGGACTGGATAAGCTGAGCTGCTGCTCCAAGGTGCCATGCTCCCCCAAGCCACTTTGCCTGTGTCCATGTTACTCTCTCTGCCTGTAATCCATCTCCTGTATTTTCCTTCATTGCTATGAATTCCACGGGAAATTTCCCCAGATGCTGCAGGCTGGCAGGTGCATGCCCTGGCATCATGTGAGCTCATGCCCACAGCAGCAATCCTCAGTTGTGACTGTTGACTTGTCTGATGCCCTCACTGGACACCTATTAAAAATAAAAAAGGCATCTTATTCATTTTTGTATTTCACACCAGCAGAAGACACATAAAATAACAGAAAGTGAAGGGACCATTACGTGTTTGTTGAATGAATGTACATTTTTCTATCTCAGCACACAATGCAAGGGCGTTTTCCTGTTCATTCATCTGTGAGCTCCTAGAAGATAAAAAACTATGTAGCTTCATTCATCTTGGTGTCACCAGGTCCTATGCCATGCCAGACACATACAAAGAACTGGGGAATATTTGATGGATGGATGAGCAGCGATCAACTTGGGAATGATCCATCAAACACTTTATGGAGGAGATGTCTTGTGGGCTAGATTGACCCTTTAGCAGCAGGAAAGAACAAGTTGCCTTTGAGATAGATTAAGACAACAGATAAAGTAGACGTGGGAAACAAGTACAAAATCTGTTTGATCCCTGTCAATCTTGGGGAGAGAGATAGAGACAGAGACAGAAACTAACTGGATGCATCTGGATCCGAAAGGTCTCATGAATTTGAAAAAATTCTTTAGCATCCCAGTTACCAGTTTAAAGTTCTCCTCACAACTTGTCCTGGTGGATAGAAGGGTGCCCACTTATGTGCAGGCAACAGGCTATGGACTCATGTGATCCTTGCTATAACCCTATTGGGGTGAGTTTTCCAAATGGGAAACGGAGTCTCAGGGATTAAGGGATTTGTTCAAGGTCAATAATGTGAGTTTCCCCAGGCCTCCTTGCCTATAGGTATAAATGAGAGGATAATGAAAATAGCAAAGATCTCACTGACTCTGGAACTTAACTTCTACCAGCCGTCAGCAAATTTTACCTTTGAGAGTTCCAGGACATGCCACACACTGACCCTGGCTTTGGCCACTGGGACGTTAGAAAATGTGGTGCAAGCAGGCCTGAAAAGCACTTACCTTTTAAGCTTGCCTCTGTGGCTGCTGAGGACTCTGCCACCACCTTGAGAACAAAACCACCTTGTGAAACAGATGAGCCATCCCACATGAGATCCCCCACATCAACCAGTCTCCAGGTAACCCTGCCAACTGCCTGCAGCCACAGAAATTCCGCCCCCCGCCCCACCACCCCATGAACAGAAGAATCACCCTGCTGAGCCCAGCCCAAATTACTGACTCACATAATCATGGGCAAATAACATGGTTATGGTTTGATGCCACTACTTTGGGGGTAGATTCTTACAAAGCAATAGATTCATTATCTTTTCATATTATTGTGTTCCATGTTTCTCTCTGGCCTCTGAAGTCACTTCATGGTCTCCTAAGAGTCCAACCTAATATGGATAGCAAAAGTGTCAGCTAGCTTCCAGATTAGAATGGTGCTCCATGGAGCCCCCAGCATGCTAAAAGACATCACACACACCCACAGAGTCCAACATCAAAATGTTATTGTTGAATCTGCCTTCAGGAAGGAAAAATAAATGGGATCTTTGCCTGCCAAAAGCAACTATTACACACACACTTCTGGATTTTTCGATCAATATTTCAGGCTTTCTCTTATACACTGGTATAATCTAAGACTTGCTCTGAGAAACACTTTGTGGTTAGCAAGGCTTTTGAATCTTAAGAGGTTCTGATAGCAGCAAAGGAATCTCATAATGCTCTGTAGCTGGAAAGAGTAGACCATATCATCTTAATATAGCAAACAGCAAAAAGGCTATTGAAAAGGAAGCTGATATCTTGTAAAATATTAGGGAGCCATCATTTTGTTTGAGACTGACTGACTTTTGCTAGTTGCCAGTGCTCTTCTATGAGGGCAGGACTGATTGCTTCACCAGTCAGGCTGGGGACCAAACCCAGGCAGATTCCATGGTAGTCTGCCATTTCCCGCCCTCATGCTTGGCCAAGCCCCCGGGAATGGGGTCCTGGCAACTCTGCCCATCAGCTCACCAGGTCAAAAGTTTGTTTGACTCCTGCTGTCATCACCAAGTCAGGAGGTGCTGGAGCCTGGGTGCATTTCCTGATTAGCTGACTTCAAGTTCAATACTGTTCCCCTCCCCATATTCATGGAAGACATTGCCAGGTAATCTCGGGACACTTTGCTGCTAGTCTGGTGTGACTCCAGAAACCCTTTCAAAATAGCATCCAGTAGTCTCTACCAAGAAATGGTACGTTCCCTGTATTCATTTACTGGGGTTTCCATAACAAAGCACTACAAATTGGGAGGCATAAATAGCAGACAGTTGCCATCACCGAGTGCTGGAGGCTGGAAGCTGCAAATCAAGGTGTCCTGGGGCTGGATCCTCTTGAGAGCTCTGAGGGATCTGCTCCCTTTCTTCCTCCTTGGCTGGGAGATCTTTTCTCTCTAACTTATCATCTTCCCTCTGCATTATATCTGTGTCCAAATTTCTCCTTTCTGTAAGGACAAGTCATGTTGGATTAGGACCCACCTAAATGACTGCATTTTAGTTTGATTATGTCTTTAAAGACCCTTTCTCCAAATAAAGTAACATTCTAAGATATTGGGGGGGGGGTGTTAGGACTCCAGTATATCTTATTGGGGAGACAGTTCAAACTTTCCTAGATGAGGCTCATTGTTGCTTCTCCCTCCTGCTCCGGACAGTACACGTGCCTGCTACTCCAAGCAGGATACACGGGCTAAGGCAAAAAGGTTGGGTGTGGGGCTGTCAGGCTCTAACACATATGGCCACAGGCTGGTGATGATGCTTCTGACCTTGCTGGGGTGAGGGGTCCCCACCTGCCTCAGTCTCCATGTGTATCCTTTACCAAATCAGTGCATTAACCCAGAGAATGGTGAAATGTTGTTCCCAAATATTGTCCTCCTCGAGTAGTGATTATACTCCCCTCTGCTGATGACACAGGGTTGGTTGTGTGACTCATTTGAGTCAATGAAATGTGAGTGCAGGGACATGTGCTCCTTCTGAGAGGAGGCTGTTGGAGGCTGGGGACTTGGCTGTGGTCTCTCTTCTGTGCAAGACTGGCAAGTTGTAGTGGACGTTGCTTCCCTAGTGGTTTGCAAAACTCTCTCAAACTGAATGTCATGCTGTAAAGTTCCATCCAACCAAACTTTCATCTTGAGACAGAGCATTATGGTAGACGCTGACATAGACAAAGATATCAACGGAGTGTTCATAAGCCTAGGTCTCTCTACAGCCTGTAGGTCAGGCAGGAACCAGTTGAATTCCCATAATTATGAATAAAAGAGTCCCACCGCCCACACCCAGGGATTTGTGGTCAAGTGGCCCCCTATTGAGAAAAACTAAGCCCCTCTCCACAGCTAAATGCTATTGCATTTGGCATAAACAATAAACATTTATTGTTAGAGTTTTGGGGTTTCCTTCTCTTATTTCCTCCACCTGCTTCTATGTTTCTTGAAACCTGAGATCCGACTTTGTATGATTTTCCATATGGGCTTGTTATGTCTTTCAGGCCTAATTTCTGAGTCATTTCCCATCAAGTGTCTGACTCCAGGAGGCCACACGGTGTGGTGACTGCTGTGGGCAGCCAATCCTCATCTGGGTCTCTGTTCTGGTCATCAGATGTCCCCTACATCCTAAGCTAAAGTCTGAGGTTGGCATTGAACAAAGAGATCTACTGGATTCATCTATAGAGCAAAGAGGAGGAGGGAAAACAATTTCAGAAGCATTCGGGAAGTTTCTCGCCAGGTTGATTAGGGCAGGCAAACAGAAATTGGTT